GCAAGTAGCAGGTGACAATGGCAAAGCTTAGCACATACCTATAGGGACTTAGACATTTAATTTGAGCAGCATGAAATCCTTGCAAAGCATCTAAAAGCATCTCCCTTACCCCTGGAAAGGCGTTCCTTGGGTTACCTCCCCACGTAGTCCTCTGTGAACTGCAAATCATGGAGGCTTAACACATTATGTCATGTCATGGTCAGACAGGCCAGGGTTCAGATCCTTGGTTCAGCATTTATTGAGCAAATTCCTTATATTCTGAGCCACAGCTTCCTCACTGACCGAGCAGGGCCAGGATGCTACCCAACCGGGGTGTGAGGAGACCATCTGGTTCAATGGTGTGATGCTCAGTGGGTGCCCAATGAACACAGGCCACTAAGGAAAAAATTTTTTGAGGGAGAGAAAAGAAGAAAAAGAAAGGGAGAAAGGATGCTTTTGGAGTATGTCAGGGCCTGAGTGGGACAGGGTGGTGGGTGGAGGCTGGGAAGGGAGGGAGCCATTTACCAGCACAGTCAACAAACAAGGATTGAAAATATAAAGCCAGGCATTGTGCTAAGTGCTGAGGAAGTAAAAAGGAATTTTTATTTATAAGTTATACCCCCTCTACTTCCAAAGAGAATTTGAAGGTGACTCACAATGAAAACCACACATGCAGCAAGATCACTAAAATAGAAAGTAAAATCCATGGAAAAGAAACCAAAAAGAAAAGAAACCAATGTTATCACCATGTGCCATGTTCTTCAATGCATTCTGTCATTTAATCCGACAACCCCACTTTACAGATGAGAAAAACAAGAACAAAGAGGTGTGCCAGGGCAAGTACGGAAACAACAGGCATGGCGCCTGGGGCCCATGATACCTTCAGGAGCCCATGAAAATGTCTTAAAATTTCTTATAAAATCAGAAGAAGAAGGAGAAAGAGAAGAAGGAGGAGGGGGAGAGGGGAAGAAGGGAAGAAGAAAGCTTAAGGTGAAGAAAATGTTTTAATATAGAAATTAATATTTCTTTATAACAATTTAGTTATAAAATACACTTTTTACTTTTTTAATGGAGGAAGGAGCCCATAAATGTTAAAGTGCCTAGGCTCCCCCAGAGGAATGCAAGCCTGTGCTACAAACTCCAGCCTGCCTAACTCCAAACCTGTGCTCTTTCCATGCCTAAGTGAGAATATTTGCTGTCTTTGAGTATAACATGCAACTCTGCTCTAAAACTAAAAAGAGACCACGAGAAGATAAATAATACTGTTTCATAAAAAAGATGTGTACTGAGGCACAGGTACTCACTTTACAATGTGATTGTAGGGGGGAAAATGTAGTTTCCTCATTTGCTTTATAAGTAATCTGTTCTTTCTCATCAGTTCCACTAGGGATCTAGCCCAGAGTTGGGGGTGAGGGAATAGAAACTAAATTTTGTCTAAATTGGTAAACTTCCAATCTCAGTAACTAAAGTTGTCTTTTTTAAGTAATTTGGATGACTTGGGTGAATCTCAACCTTTGGGAGTCTGCTTTCTCTGCTTCCTGAACCCACTGTGGTGAATGGTTCTGACCAAGATCCTCATGGCAACCAGGAGAGGGTCCTTGAGTTCCTGTGGCATGCCCCAGATCCTCACTGGTCTCCTTCACAAGAGGCTAGACTAGCCAGCTACCTGAGCTGATGACCACCACAGTAGGATGGGTCCCTTCTGGCTTTCTGGGGTGTTATGCTAGGATATAACTAACACTCGAGGCCATGGTCCCTGCCAGTTGCCCAAGTGACCTCTTGGTCCTATTGTCACCAGGTCTATCACCAGGCCTATCTTCTGCCACTCTGCTAGCTCTCTCAGCACCTACTCTGGTGCTATCTCAGGCTTCCCTACCCACCACTTTCTGCTGTACCCCCATGCTATCATGTGGGTGCTTCTCCTGGACTTGTGGTCTTCCCCCACATGCCTGGATAAGGACCCACCTGGCCCAGACACTATGTCCTCCATGCTTTTCTGGATGATTCAGAAATTCCCAACATGCCAAGTTGTGTGTGGGGAAGGTGGTAGAGGCAAGAATGGTAGTGGCAGAGAAAAACCTTGCTGCCTGTCTACCTATTCCCTCTCTATCCTTTTCTCCTTCTCACAGTCTATCAGAATAGAAGGAACAGGTGTTCCCCTCTCCATTTTCTCAGAACTAGTCAGGCAGACCTAACTCTTGCTGTGTTAAATGAGAGTTAAAGGAATTTAGAAAGCCTTTCCTCTTAACGATGACTACATTCCATCCAAGAATCTTGCTACAGATGCAGACAAAAATCTAATCTGGACAAATTGATTAAAGTATTTTATGTGCCTTCCTCTCACTGCCTGCCCCGAACATTGCTTCAGTGGACAAAAAAACCCCAGAATAACAAGATTTACAGGATATGAAAATTCATCTAAAAGTGTTAACCCCATTGCAAAAACATAGTAGTTCAACAGGAGAAATGAACTATGCTGATATTAAATTTCAAAAGAAATGTACAGTTGACCCTTGAGCAATACAGTTGAACTGCACAGGTCCTGAGGACTTTTTACAGTACAGTACTGTAAATGTATTTTCTTTTATGCTTTTCTTAATAACATTTTCTTTTCTTTAGCTTACTTTATTGCAAGAATACAGTACATATTACATTTAACATACAAAATATGTATTAGTTGACTGTTTATGTTATCAGTATGACTTAAGTCAATGGTAGGCTATTAGTAGTTAAGTTTGGGGTAGTCAAAAGTTGTTTGTGAATTTTTGACTGCATGGGGAGTTGGCACCCCTAACCTGTATATTGTTCAAAGGTCAACTATATTCTATGCCTCCTTTCTATACAAGAAAGATTGAACAACCTGGTGAACACTAGTCTCCAATGCTTATTTTACAAGCCTTCTTCCAATAGCTGTTTGTTTTATCACCTTCCTAAAAGTAGACTAGAATATTAGGCACTTCTGATGAAAGAGGGCTAATCAGGTGAGTCCAGTTATGCTATACCTGGTGTTCTTACCACTGGATGTAGCTTAGACACCCCAGAGAAGATAGCACAATGTAGCATGACTGGTCTTTCAGGCAGGGTTTAGACTGGGGAGCAAAGTCACTCTCCTCCTCTCCCTCTTTGAAGGACGTCAGGGAGAGTTTTTAAAAAGGAAGATGGGCACAACCATCATAGTTTTTTTGAATATTAGTCATGATTCAAAATGTGAACCAGAAATAGTCTGAGTTTGGGGCAGAACTGACTTTTGGGAGGAAATGACTCAACAAGTGTGAAAAGTTGGAGAATACGAGATCAAATTCTAGGATCTTCTACACTCAGGCTGGACATATGCAACTATTAAAGGTCTGGATACAAATTATGACTTTTACTCTGGACCAGGAGAAAGACTCCAGAAGTCTTAGTAGCTGTCTTATCCAGAAAGAATATGATCATAGGGAGAATCAAGATCTTCACATTGGAAGGCACTCAAGAGTTCATCCTGTCCAACCACTGCCTTTGAGATAGAAAATAAGACAAAGACAAGGATAGTCACTATCACTACTTCTATCAACATTGTGCTGGAAGTCCTTCCCATTTAAATAAAGAGAAAAAAAAAAACAATGTAAGGCTAAGATTGAGAAATAGAGAAACAAAACTTTAAATGTATACAAATAATATTATGTGAATAAAAATCCAAGAGTCTACTAATATTATTAGACCTAGTAAGAATGTTTTGCAGGATTGCTGGGTATAAAATTAACATACCAACAATGAGTTTTTTTCAATACATGAACAACTAATGTGAGAAAATGAACTTTTTAAAAAGTGATCATATACATTTGCAACAAAAATGAGGGATTTATGAATGAGTCTAACAAAATTTATGTTATACTTTTTTTCTTAGAAAATGATTAATTAAGCAGAATTTTATTTCCAAGCTCATTAAAGATTACTACAAACACAAAGTATCTTTTAAAGGTGTCCCAAATTGGGGCACCTGGATGGCTCAGTCAGTTGAGCGTCTGACTTCGTCTCAGGTCATGATCTCGTGGTTGGCAGTGGGTTCAAGCCCTGTGTTGGGCTCTGTGCTGACAGGTCAGAGCTTGGAGCCTGTTTCAGATTCTGTGTCTCCCTCTCTCTCTTCCCCTCCCCCAGTCATGCTCTTTCTCTCTCTCTGTCTCTCTCTCTCTCAAAAATAAAAACGTTAAAAAAATCTTTTTAAGTGTCCCAAATTAAATCAAAGCACATCATCAAAGTAAAACACTTGTGACATTAAGAATTTAGGTTGTAGTATTTTCCATTATTTTGTTTTTAATCATTTGCAATGTTCAGAAGATCACATGTAAACATTTTTTAAGACATGAAATGATGTACCTTTTTTTAAGATACAACCACGACAATAAAGTAGAGGAACTTAAGATAAAGACCAAATCTTTACAAATATGTTTGCTAAGAAACAGCTCCCATGTTTAGTGTTACAAATAAAATAATCTTCTCATTTAGAAAAATCAAGACATCATTTGATCAATAAAACTTATTCTTCTCCCAGTTTTATACTTGCTTGTCTTCATTTAGAAACTGTTAAATTTATGAGAAAATAACAAGTTTTGTTATGATATAAAAATCTTAGGAACAACAAATTAACAAAATACAAATTTTTTAACAAAAATGTTTTCCTTCCCAAACTGTAAACATCTAGTCAATAAAACAAACATGATATTCCAGATATAGAAACACTAGTAATTTGCTCATGAAAAAAGTATATTTGGTGGTAACATTTTTGTTTGTCTTAAATATAGAAGCACTTTACCAAAAGAATCAGGCCATTATTATCTAAAGTCCATTCTTTCACTCAGTTCTCTTATCCGAGTAGAAACTCATCAATTTCTGTAGAATTTTGGCTATAGGGCCAGGCCACAGGACAGGCCCGAAATATCTAAGAGTCATTTGGCTGGAAAAAAGTGTTTTCTTGAGACTTAGAAGCAGTCATCCATCACTTTACGCTTAAAAGCATTCCTCAGGAAACTTCTTCCCAGCCTTTAGAATAAAGCACAGGATCTGAGCTCCCAGAAAGTGTTGCTTTCAGCTGGAACACCTACCAGCAGGGCATCCTTGCAGGCATTTTACGTGCAGTACTGTTGAAGCTCTGCAGGTGCCTGTGAGGCCTTGATACTCTCCACACTGGCATCCAGCTTGAGCTGCTCCATCAGGCATTGCAGGACATTCACGCTGGCCCCAAAAGACATGGCAGCAACACAGGGCTCCAATGGCCTGTATGTTAGACTTCTATAAAAAAATTATTAAACTTTATTGAGGGACACTAAAGGATACTCTAAAAAATGCAGAGGTATACTATATTCGTGGATAGATAGGTCTGCATTGTAAAGATGTCATTTTCCACAAATTTATATGTGGATTCAAAGCATTCCAATCAAAATCCCAACACATTATTGCATGTAGGATTTGGTAAACTTATTGTAAAATTCATATGAGAGTGAAATAAGAAAAACAAAGTGAAGGAATTGTCCTATCAGGGATTATTACTTACCATAAGGTCATAGTAATTAAGACAATGTGTCATTGGCACAGGCATAGAGAAATAGATCACTGAAACAGAATAGAGAGCTCATGAACAGATCAACACATATAGGGATACTTGATATAACATAGAGGTAGGGTTACAGAGCAGTGAGAAAGAAAAACAGACTTTAAAAAAATGCTGGAGCAAAAGAGTGGTAGGGAAATGTGTTATAAAGGAGGAGAAAGTACCTTGTGGTGTCTTTACAGATCACTCCAACATGGCCATGGACATTGCACTTGGAGAGGCAGATGAAATGAAAGGCTTTGGGGCACCTGGGTGGCTCAGTGGCTAAGCATCCAATTGTGGCTCAGGTTATGCTCTCATGATTTATGAGTTCGAGCACAGCATCAGGCTCTCAGCATAGAGCCTGCTTTGGATCCTCTGTGCCCCCAACCCCCGCCCCCCACCACCATCTCTCCCCGACTCACACTCTATCTCTCTCAAAAATAAATAAACACTTAAAAAATTATGCTTTACTATACTCACATTCTAGGATAGGGAAGCACGGCAGGTTACACAAAGTCAATTATACCTCAATTAAAAAAAAAGAATGCATACAGTAAGTACTTACTTGCCAAGCCTAAAGGTAAATTAACCATTAGCTTAAACTGTATAAAATTGCTGTTATCCAACCATTTAGTCTCCTACAGTTCACTCTAAGATTTTTAGGGTACATACACAGAGGATAAAACCATATAGAAAGGTAATGATGACCAGAAAAGTCAGGATAGTGTTACCTCTGGGGAGAAGGGGAGGAGATTTGATTGGGAGAGGTGTGGAGTTGGGGCACTTCACAGGTACTGGAGATGTTCTAGTCTATTTCTTGATCTCATGGATGGTTACAAAGGTATTTGCTTTATAGGTCTTATGCATTTATTTGTTTTAATGTTTTATTTTATTTTTGAGAGAGAGAGAGAAAGACCGAGCACAAGCAGGGGAGGGGCAAAGAGAGAGGGAGACACAGAATCCAAAGCAGGATCCAGGCTCTAAGCTGTCAGCACAGAGCCCAATATGAGGCTTGAACTCATGAATCGCAAGATCATGACCTGAGCCAAAGTCGGACACTTAACCGACTGAGCCATCCGGGCGCCCCAGTTTTATGCATTTAAAAAACAATATTTTCTTTAAAAAAGTAGATGCCAGCTCTGAATCAGGACACACTAGCCAGACAGGTCATCTATCCACAGGTGGGTGGCAGAGAGCAGGGCACCTCTGTTCTGGAAGTCAGGGTCCACATTACAGATTATGTGTAACAGTTGCCTGACACAGTTGATTTGTCTTGTTTTGTTTTTACCAGATAACAATTGGTAACATTCTTATTATTCCACTTATAATATATATAATAATAAATTATTTATGTGTGTTTACCCAACAGAAAGTGTGCCCCTTGAGGGCAAGGCCTGTTTTTGTGGTTGACCCAGTAAAGCCAACTGCCTGGCGTACTGTAGATACTCAATTAAAAGTCCCTTGAGAGGTGGCTGGGAGGCTCAGTTGGTTAAGCGTCCAACTTTGGCTCAAGTCATGATGTCATGGCTCATGAGTTCAAGCCCTGCATTGGCTCTGTGCTGACAGAGCTTGGGATTCTCTCTCTGTCCTTCTCTCTCTGTTCCTCCCTAACTCATGCTTTCTCTCTCTCTCTCTCAAAATAAATAAACTTTAAATAAATAAATAAATAAATAAATAAATAAATAAATAAATAATAAAAGTCCCTTGAAAGGGCAGACTCTACATGGATGGATGGATGGATGGATGGGTAGATGGACAGCCAGAGCTCTTAATGGTTGCAGGTCTTTCAGTGGATTTTATTTTCAGAACTAGTAAAGAGATGTTTAAAGCCAAACATGGTGAATGGAGTGGGTTTATACGTGTACATGTGCTAGTATGGTAAAAACAGAGGCAAAAACATATTTAGTGATCTAGTGAGTGGGACAGTGCGTGCTGTATTTTGAGTACTCAGTTCTGTGCCCGTCTAATTGTGCTGCTAGGATTCGCTTCTGGGACTTGCCAGCCACACAGGGCCCGCTACTTCCTTGCGCAGCTCCAGGGCAATTGCTGACTTTGTGTTTTATTTTTTTTTTATTTTTATTTTTTTAAATTTTTTTTTTCAATGTTTATTTTGGGGACAGAGAGAGACAGAGCATGAACGGGGGAGGGGCAGAGAGAGAGGGAGACACAGAATCGGAAACAGGCTCCAGGCTCTAAGCCATCAGCCCAGAGCCTGACGCGGGGCTCGAACTCACGGACCGCGAGATCGTGACCTGGCTGGAGTCGGACGCTTAACCGCTTAACCGACTGCGCCACCCAGGCGCCCCGCTGACTTTGTGTTTTAGGTAAATAGGGCTGCCAGAGTGGGGCAATGAGGAGGCTCGGAAGTGGCTTCTGCTGGGGAGGCCATGGAGCAGTGGGCACAGCAAAGCCCCAGGAGAGGGATGGTGGGAAAGTCGCCCCGCACGGGGCTGGACCCTCAGCATGCCTGCCCCACCCCTCAGTCTTGGAGGATTGGTGGCACTCAGATGACACGGTCTGGGAAACATTTTCCTTCCTCACTCTCTTTCCTTCCTTTTTCCTTCCTTCTTGCCTGCTTTCCTCTCTCCTTCCCTTCTCTCTTTTCTCTATTCCTCTTTCCCTTCTTTGCTTCCCTCTTTGGCCCCTCCGTCTCTCTCTGGCTCTCCTTCTCTCGCCCAACCCCTGCGCTGGGCAATCTTTCCAGGCCTCTATTTCTATCTCCCTCTGTCAATCAGATGAACTCAGTGGTGAAGAAACCCAAATACATTAGCTATTCTCCCCTATCCTCCCCAAGAGACCAGCTCAGACTGCAGTTCTTAGGCGGCTGAATTCCCTCGGGGCCCTTTCCCCTGCATACTCTCCACCCCACTACCCTGCAGGCCACAGACCCCTCTGGGTGGCCTGGAATCTGCCCCACCAGGCAACCACGAAGCCCCCTTGGGCTGGCCCAGGACCCCTTCCCAAAGCTGCATTTAGAGAAGGGGCCATCTCTTACTCCTAAATGTATCCATCCTTAGCGCCAAGAGCAAATGCCCCCCTTTCTGGACCCCATAATAGAAACACAGATCTTGGCTGCCCTTCTTTTCACCCCAAAGAAGGGCTGCTTTTGCAATAAGGGCATTAGAAGATTGTCGGCTGCCAGGAATGCATAGACGTTTTTTTCTCCAGTCCCTGCCCTGGGCTGATCTGGTCTGATTGACAGGAAAGGTAGACAGGACAGGGCAAGGGGAGAAGGAGAGCAGGAAGGGGGCTGGAGAGGTGGAGTCTGGAGGGTAGAGAGAAGCAGAGGCAGAAGAAGAGATCAAGTTCCAGAATTTTAGAACTGGAGGAAGAGACAGAAGACCATCTAGCAGGCCACCCCAACACACACACCACCCATTTTTCAGAGGAGGAAACCGAGACTTCAGAGTCTCAATGCAAAAGAAGCGGTTTGCTCCTGTCCTGCGTTGATCATGGGCAGAGTCCGGACCAGCAGGCAGGTCTGTTGACTCGGATCCCAGCCCAGCACCGCCCCTCCGCCTGACTCAAGGCAGAGAAAATTGACTGTCTTGGCAGAAAAATGAAACCTTTTGATTTACGAGGAATTCCGAGATATCTTCCAGTTGACAGTCTTTGGAGAATTGCACAAGCCCACACTTTTGTGGGGGCAGCATTTAATGAAATGAACACATGAGTTATTCGTTTTTCATTAAGGATGTCACGCAGAGAATCCATATCTAAGGAGGAAAAATCAGTCCCGGTCTGGGGCCCCACAGTCCCACGGTCCCAGGGAGAATTTGTCTCAAGACGGGGAGGCCAGGAGCAGGGGTGAACTAACCTTCCAGACACTTATGTCATGTCCATCGTCTCAAGTAATTCTCACAGGGACCCAGAAAGCTAGATACCGTTGCTCCAGCATTACAGATGAGAAAATTGAAGCTCAGAGAGAGCAAGTAACAAGCCCAGTGTCACCTAGCTAATGAGTGACAGAGCCAGCGTTTAAATCCCAGCCTGCTTTGGATCAACTGCAGTAAGCCGTCCGTGCAGGAATGGGAAACCAACTGGGTAGCCTGGGGTCCAGCTGTGCAGACACTCACTTCAGATCGATGGTCCAGGGACAGAGGAGCCCTGGGGCCTGGCAAGGGCAACCCTGGGCTTTGGTGGTCAGCCAAGCCCAGCTGGATGATGGTGGCCAAGCCTATGAAGCCTAGGGAGTAGTTGGACCATGACAATGATGCCCAGCAGGCTCTGTTTTGGTTGCTTTCTGGATTCCCAGCCTCAGAGCAAACTGGCATCTGTATCAGGATACTCAGTTGGGCCCCCATCTCAGATGCAGACATGACAAGTGTGGGCCTTAGAGCCAGGTAGACCTGGGTTTGAATCCTGAGTCAGGCCCTGAAAAGGTGCCTTGATCCCTCTCAAGCCTCAGTTTCCATACTTGAAATAGTTACCTACAGCACTTACCTCTCTGTATTGTCACGAAGTTTGAAAATAATATTATTATTACTAATAGCAACTATTTAATAATAATGACAACATATTGAGTGCATTTTATGTGCTGTGCATTATGCTAACTAAGCATGTTACCTGAGTTAATCTTTTTTTAAAATAGTGTTTTATCTAGTATAGTTTATTTGAATTTGTTTTTTTTAATATGAAATGTGTTGTCAAATTGGTTTC